TATTTCTTTATAATTATATTCATCGATTTCTAGTCTTTTCTATCCATATTAGACACATTTATATGCAAAAAATTTTTGTTTGTCGTGTATTTTTTTTATATAGTGTTCTTGTTCATTTTGCTATCGTATACTGGACATTAGTGGATTTGATGGATTGAATTGTCGCTAGATCCAGAGCGCAAGATGGCATAGTGATTGTGAAATTGGTACTCTTGTTTTTTTTTGAGCGAAAATAATATACTAGACTACTCAAGAGAATGATGCCAATACATGCCACTATAATTCCTGTGAAGGACATAGGATGATTTATCCATTCTTTATATCCCAATGTTGTTTCTGGTTTTGGAGTGTTCGATATGAAATCAATTACAGCTTGTATGTTCGATGGGATATATGGTAATTTCGCCCAATGAGTATTATTGCCGATCATTGAATGCAAGTCAATGAAATCTTCTTCAATGGGATTTACTGTTGAATTTTGTATTAATGAAACTGTTGCTCCCAGTTTGATAGGTAAGCCTGGTAAATAAAAGCGATCACAAACTAAAGAATTTGTGTCGACGGTTGTAATAAGAGCCACTGGTGGCAAAGTGATTTCTGCAGTGTCTGTGATTCTATGTTGCTCCATATTCGAAGTTTTCACTGAATGACATTTGGTAGTTGAGTTTGTTGATACAGCCCAATGTTGTCCAATGCGATGAATAAATACTGAATCAGAAAATGCTTCTACTCGGCATGATGATAACGGAGAATCAGTTAAAATTTGATAGAGACAGTTATCTTCTAAGTCTTTTCTGATTGCTGGTGTTTCTCGACAAGATGACATAAGTGTAAAATCACAAGATCTAGCTTCCTCTGTTGACCAACGAACAAATTGTAATGTCTGTGGATCGATTCCAATAAATGCTGGCATTTGCGCTAATCTCACTCGATTTGGTCCATGTTTAAATGGAATAGGCACGAGTTCATAAATTAAAAAGGTTGGTTGATTTATATCAGAGGCTGCAAAAAATGAAGTAAAGACTAGTTTTCCAATTATATTTCCACTTTCTGTTTTTTGCATTGATTTTACTGGAATAAAGTCGATCCTTTGTTGTACGAGTAATTTGGAAATTAATGCAATAATAGGTATTGAACTGGTTGAATCGTCAAACGTAATATTCGTTGCCTCAACAATAAGTTCTACTACTCGAGGTAGATCTTTATGATGAATAAAATCTAGGTTAAGATTGTTTTTCATTATATTTTCAATCGATGTATGTATAAAATGTGCTTCCACGGCGTGGATAAGTGCAGCAAGTCTTTCATTTAGAAAAAGTGTCATTGAGTGAATTGTTCGCATCTTGTCATCTGTTCGGCGTAGTATTTCTGAATGTTCATTAACAAGTTGAATTGTTTGGTTTAGGGCAAATTCAGTATGATTCAATTCGTGTACTAATTTGAACTGACCTTCATTTAAATGGAGAATTTGGGCCCGATTGTTATTCATAATTCGATCTCTTGATTGTAGGGAATTGGTGAGAGAGCTTACTTCACTTTTCAAATTCAAAGTCTGGAAGGTATTTGCTGTTGTCAAAGCAAGTGATGCTGTACCAACTGCTATAGAAATGATTTCTGCAATCAATCGTTTACTACGTGTTTTCCCTATTACGGAATTTGATTTCGTTGTTTTTGTTTTATCTTGAGTTGGACGACGTGTTTTGTTCATTTGGGCAAGACTTGTTCTTGAAAATTGACTTTGACATCTAGGAATTTTTTGCATAGCCGATACCGGAATTAAATAACACATGTCTTCTACCATAGGAAATGTAACTGTAAATGTAACAATTTTGTTGGAAGGTCGATATTCCGACATATAATGTAACACTAATCCTGATGCAGTATGAACAATATCAGATTTTGGTATCGACAAAATGTTTGTACTTATTGTTATGTCAAACTTTATAATAGTTACCAGTAAGAAAATTATTAAAGATACTTTTTTAATTAAGGCCATTAATTCTTTATCATAACATAAATATTCTTCTAACGTCTATCGCAATAGTTGTAACTTATGTAAATGTCTCTTTTTCTCTTAAGTAAATTTTTTTCAATATGTTCTTTCTTTCTCTTCTCCATTTTCGTTGTTGATAGATTTGTCTTCTGTAAGTTTATCCATCTTGTTCAAGAACTTCAAGGTTCTATATATTGTCGTCCTTATCTTTGACTGTTCCCTTGTGGCTAAATGATTATCGTTTTCCTTGGTGAAGTTATCCTTATCTCCGTTTATTGACCATGCCAATGTTCCTATTATCACAATTATCCATAAGTTTAACAGTTGCCTTCATTAATCTTCTCCTGAAAGTTCGATCTTTATCTTTGATCGTTATTCTTGACGATGTCTGTCTGGTTAATATTATCCTTGCATCAATCGGCTAGTCATATTAATATCTTTTTCTTTTAAAATTGTTATCCTTGTCTTTCAATATTGTCCTTGTCCACTTTCATCGTGCTAATGATATTATCCTTGCGTTTAACTGTTACTTCACTTAATATTCTTCTTGATAGTTTTGTCCTTGTCTTGTTAACTAGTATATTAACTTTCCTCCATTATATTCTTTGAGAGTATATAATTATACTGAGTTCTTATAATTTTCTATGAGGTGTTGAATATTTGGTTTAATTTTTTTAATGGTCATTATCATTGTGTATGGGTTGACCGGATGTTATCCATACACATTCTTCTTAAATTGAAATATCAAATGGAATCTCGATATCGGGCAGGAAGTTGACGCTTCCGACTCGATTTCCGTCGTGAACTTGGTTGTTCTGTTGTAACTGATGCTTCCTCTATAAATGAGTCTCCCACATCTGTATTTGAATCTTGATCTGATGTTCTGCGAACTTCATTATCCAAAATTAAATCGTCAATCCTTTCTGGTTCTATATTTTGCATATTTTCTGTTATCGTTGGGGATTGATCATGTGGAATTCGTGGAAAATATTTTTTCATTCGATCAATGTTTGTTGCTCCTAAATTCACTCCATCGCTAATTCGTCGTACTATAAATGTTGAGGGACCAAGTTGTTCTACTAGTCGACATGGACCTTGATATTTTGGTTGAAATTTTCTACTTAATGGAACTTCACCTATTTGAGGAGTAATTGTTGCAATCCATACTAAATCTCCAATGTTGAATTGTCGTTGAGATGTATGTTGATCATATTCTCTTTTCTGAATTATTTTTTCTACTTCTGAATGTTCACGAACGAAGTTGTATGTGCTCCGCAAGTTGTGTATTAAATTTTTGCGATATTCATTAATTTGTCTAGAATCGATTGACGTTGGTGGTGGACCTTGTGTTGGTTCACCAATTATTAAATCCATAGGTAATTTTAAATCGCGACCAAACATCATATAAGCTGGAGTTTCACCAGTAGTTTCATTTATAGATGTCCGAATAGATAAAGCTAATTTTTGAATTTCTTTATCCCAAGAATGAGGGTGTTCGTGTGCAAAAATTGCTAACATAGGTTTCAAGGTTCTATTGACTCGCTCTGTTAAATTGGTTTGTGGATGATAATTTGCTGTAAATTTTCGTTCGATTCCTAAAGTTTCACAAAAATGTTGAAAGAGAAGAGATACGAACTGTGGACCATTATCCGATAAAATAAAGGTTGGCATGCCGTATCTCGTAAATACTTCATTAATGAGTATTTGCGCAATGTCGATTGATGTTGTTGTACGTAAAGGAAATACTTCAATCCAACGTGTAAAATAATCAACTATGACCAGTAAGAATCGTTTTTGTCGTGCTGTTTTCGGAAAAGGACCCATACTGTCTATACCAATTGTATGCCATGGCTGATTAATAGTATGAATCTGTAATGGATTTGCTAACGGTATATTATTATATTTAAATTGTTGACAGGCTTGACATGACGCAACATAGTTATATACGTCTTTACGTATTGAGTCCCAAAATACCCGAGTAGTTAAACGAAATAATGTTTTTTGTTGACCACCATGACCAGCTGACGGATGATCATGTGCCCAAGATAGTAATTTTTGTTGCAGAGACTTCGGAATAACTAAAAGATGTTTATTACCGATTTCACGTTGGTTATAATGTCTATTTGAATTTTTCATTTTGTACAAAATATCATTAATTAGCAAATATGGATTACGTTTGTCATTAAATATTGGTATATTCTTATTTCGTAATTGATCGATAATATATTTTAATTTTGGATCTGCTTGCTGTTCAGTTTTAACTTCATCAAGAATATTTGTATTTTCCCATAAGTTAATCGCCGTTTCAACTGCGAATAATTGTGGACTTTGATCAGTATTTTCTGTGACAGGGTTTCGTGAAAGTGAATCTGCGTTAGCATTTTGCTTTCCGGGACGATATTGTATGTTTTCAATTTGATAAGCTGACAATTTCATTGCCCATCGTGCTAAACGGCCTGTTACATCTTTAGCGTTTCGTAACCATTGAAGAGCTTTACAATCTGAACGAATAAGTACCTTACTTCCTTCAATATACACCCGGAAATGTTTCGTCGCCCAAACTATTGCAAGTGCTTCCCGTTCGGTTGCTCCGTATCTTCTTTCAATTGCAGACAATGTTCGACTTGCATAAGCAATCACATATTTTTTATCATCATATTCTTGAGTTAGAACTGCACCTAATCCATATTCACAAGCATCAACTTCTAATATAAATGGTTGTTCAAAATTAGGAGTGTTCATAATGGGTGCTGTTGTCAATTTTTCCTTTAATATGTTAAAAGCTTCGGTACACTCGTTGGACCATCGAAGATGATGATTACCAGTTATTGTAAAACGCAATTGTTTAATGAGTGGTTCGGCAATTCTGGCATAATTTTGTATAAATCGACGATAATATCCGGTAAGACCAAGAAATGATTGTACATCTCTAATTGTTTGTGGTCGTGGAAAATCAATAACTGATCTGATTAAGTCTGGATCAGGTTTAACACCGTCGCTAGTAATAATATGTCCGAGATATTTTGTTTCCCAACGACAAAAATGACATTTAGAAGTCTTTAATGTTAAATTTGCTGACCGTAGAGCTTCGAATACGCGTTTAAGATCTTCTATGTGTTTTTCAAAGGTAGGAGAATATATAATTACATCATCGATATATACGAGACAACATTGCCATTTAAGGCCGGCTAGCACTATATCCATCAGTCGCTGAAACGTTGCCGGTGCATTTGTCAAGCCATATGGCATTACTTTAAATTCAAATAATCCTTTGTATGTAATAAATGCAGTCTTTTCACGTGATTTTTCATCCATTTCAACTTGCCAATAACCTGTACGTAGATCTAATGTTGAAATAAATTTGGCCTCTTGTAAAGAATCAAGGGTATCATCAATTCTTGGAATTGGATATGCATCGCGAACCGTCATTGCATTTAATTTTCGATAATCAATACAGAAACGAAATGTTCCATCTTTCTTGGGTGCTAAAACAACTGGTGAAGCCCAAGGGCTTTTTGAGGGGACGATAATGTTATCTTGAAGCATTTCTCGTAAATTTTCCTCAACAATTTGACGTCGAGCAGGTGCAATACGATATGGTGGTAAATTACAAGGTTGAGATCCGGGTAATAACTTGATTTCGTGTTGAATTTTGCTTGTTTGGCCGGTCTTCTCACTAAAAACATCAGGAAATGCTCGAATTGCATCTAATAGTTTCTGTTTTTGAATATCATTTAAATCGGTTTCAGTTAAATTTGGTTCAATAGTTTTCATACTTTGCTTGGAGTTACTCAAAGATAAATCTTTTTGATTAATCGAATTCACTTGAATTTGGTTTAATCGCTTCATATAAGCTAATGCTTGACCTGGATGTATCCTAATTGTTCTTTCTGTTAAATTTGCAACTTCAATTTCTAAATTTTTTCGTGGATTAATTATGCCGTTGGCAGCGCATGGTGTGTTTTTAAGCGATGTTACTTCATAGTCATCACCTTCTTGATTTATGACCAAAAATGGTTTATTTGGACACACACGAATATGAACTATGTGAGTAGGTGGTATTCTCAAACGTTCATCAGCTATAAGAATATATTCGTCATCATTATAATACTGTTGTTTCTTGTGTTGTGGATTAAATCTGTAATTGGAGAATTGTTTGAAATAAGCATTTTGTCTACGTCCATCAATTTGCAAGTTATGTTTTTGAATAAGGTCATTTCCAATAATGCACGGTTGTGATAATTTCGGAACGACATAAACCGTATGAGTTTTGGTACAATTTGCAATAGTAATTGGTAATGAAAGAACACATTTAACTTTTAACTGTGATTTATCGGCTAACTGTAAAATTAACCATGCAGGAGGATTACGAGCTCGTCGACGAAAATAATAAGGTAATTTTACAAATAATTCTTCGTTTATAAGTGTTAAGGATGCTCCTGAATCAATAAGTAAACGGGTTGATAAACCAGCAATCCGTCCAAAAACAGTAAGGGGATTATATATAGGGAACTTAACTGCATGAGCTTGGGTAAATACTTGGACGGGATCTTCTAATAACGAGCGTCGGTGTCCCGTCGATCCAACGCTCTTTTGTCGTTTTTTGAATACGAATGTCCTTCACCACGCCAATAATTATTTGTATTACCTGTACGACAATTTCTTGCTACATGACCCCACGTTCCACAATTATAACATTTCATTGATTCTAATTGTTGAATATTTCCTATTTCTGCAGTTGTTTGTTTGTAGTAATTTGTGGTTGGAAACGATCGATCAGTATTCTTTTCATTAAATGTTGTTCTTTGAAAAGGAACTGTTTTATTATTTGAAGGATATTTCGCATTCATAGCTAATAATGGTTTTGCATATTCATTAGTTACTTCATTCTGAGATTTTCTAACCTTTAACGTATCATTTTGAGATGACATTTGGTTTAAATATTTTAGCCTACGTTCTTCTTTTTTACGACGATATAAAATTTCCTCCACCTTTTGAGCTTCCATAATAATTTCATCTAAGGTTGCACCACGAGATATTCCAATCATGCTGAGTAAATCATTACGCATTTTGCAAAATAAATGTCTAACTAAATCGACTTCAGTTTCTTTTGGTTTCTGTTCGGTCCATAAAGC